GTGCTCCTGTTCCAGTGCTTGGGGGGGAGGGGGGAGGAAAGAGGGGTTTCATGGTCATTAATGAAACTGTGCACTGAGCTGAGATATACCAAGGTATGAAGCAGTAACAGGTGTGGATAAGTAATAGAATAATGGCAGAGAACATTCCTGATCAGATTTCTGTCATACACCAAAATGCAGTGTCAATTAACTTACCAGACTTGGTTACCCTCCAAAATGTGTTCTGTCAAGAAACTAAGGATGAAAACAGATGCCACAATCTTTGGGCATGAACTTCCGTGTGGCAGACAGCAAGAGTTTCTCCTGAGAATTGCTCTGAAATGGCTATAATAAAATTTCCACTTTATTATAGAGATCGGTTTCACAACAAACTAGATTTGCTAAAAGAGTAGAAAAATGAAATCACTGGGCAGTTAACAGACAAGCTGTCTGCACCCATTAGAGATGGTAAACATGTTTTTCCAAGAGATTTATTCAATGATGAGATTAAAGAATAGGTGCCCTCTGAATACTAAAGCTGCAGCTACTGGATTTTTAAGGCAAAAGGACTGCACATCTCAACAGTCTTCATTTGAGTCCTGAAGGTAGGTAGTTTTCAATCTCCTGATGTCAGAGACACAGGTCCTCCCCTGCCTGGAAACACCACCACTTACCTTGTGTTTGCACATCATCACATAGCCAAGAAAGGCAGTGTTCTTTGCTTTTAAGCGACACTGCCCTTGAGCTGTTTAGCTCAGCCACACCTAGGGGATTTCTCCGCATGAGCTGCCTCTGAGACCTCATTGGAACCAGTCTGAAATTTTAGGGTTTCTTTCCTCTACAGAAGCAGCCTGATTAATCTGAATGGAGTGCAGGCGGCTATCTAGCAGAATTCCAAGTAGTATCCAAAGCAGGAGCTGCCACAGAAACAATCCCACCCGTCTGTTATGGGTACATGGAGGCAAAGCCAGTTCCCCAGGGAGGAAAGATCACTTTTGCTGGAGTGGTCAACCAGGACTCCAGATATCACCTGAGGACTAAGTTTGAATCCTGTGACATATTCCCTCAGTGCCTGAAGTTAAAGAGACAAAGTGGGTGAAGTAATATCTTTTATTTGACCAATTTCTGTTGGTGAAAGAGACAAGCTTTCGAGCTTACACAGAGCTCTTCTTCAGGTCTGGGAAATTAATTCAAAGTGTCACTGCCTGTAACAGACCTTCTGGAGAAGTTCCTCCAGACTTCAGCGCTCCATGAGAGATACGAGTAGGTGAGGGGAGCATATGCTCACCCTCCCTCCACATCAGGGGAGTTGTGGATGAGAAGGTACAATGATGGCTGCAGGACTGGTCCCATATGTGGTTCTCCTTGTCCGTAGGAATTGCCAGACTGGACCAGATCAGTACTTCATCTAGTCTCAGATAGTGGCCAGCGCCACCTACTTCAGAAGGCACAAGAAATGAATGCACCATTATTGAACAGCCAGTCCATAGGGAAAGGTTTCTTGGAAATCTCTGTGCTGGTGCCCCGTTCTTCTGTCCTGCCCAAGAGGGGAATTGAGGTCAAGGAATTTTTCACTCAGTGGTTGTTGGGAAAACCGCAGACTCAGAGTGGTTTTTCGTGTGTTATAGGCCTTTACCTAATTAAGATCCTCCTGTGGTTAGAGAATATAAGCTTTTTATGAGTAAGACACTTTACAGGTCACCCTTCTGCTAGAATGCAAGTGCCGCAAGAGAAAGGATCCCTTTCCTCTCCACAGCATGCAGACAGCGGAGCTGGGTATCTGCCAGCGATGGGAGCAATAGTCCCCACTGCCTGAATGATAAATTAAAGTTTTCCATCAAAATTCACCATTTTCTTAAAGCTTTTCAAAAGGTTAATTCAAGGCCATTAGAATGTGATGCCAGAAAGTGCCTGCAAACCTCCTGCTGTAAAGATTCCACAGCTTAAAAAAACCCATTCCGCTATTTACTGAGATGTTGGACTAGCTTGCTCCCCCCAAGCTCCTTGACAGAGAATCTCATAAAAGCAAAAGATATTTAACTCCAGTGCAACTCTTGGCAGCAGGACTGACAGAACGTTAAATGGGAGCCATGATGATTGCTGGAATCATGTAATTAACTCCTGCTGGCTGCATGACAGCAAATTAGACAAATTAGGAACCACCTACACAGGCACTAAATTGCCTTTTTTTTTCTGCAGGCTGGATTTGTACTCCATCCGACAGGAATCGCTTGGGCAATAGAAGCTACATGCTACACATTCACTGCATGTACACAGGAGACACTCTCCATCTGAACAGCACAATGCCCAGGAATAAGGTTGCCCTGTTCCAAATACTGAATGCATGTTAAAAGAAGAACACAGATAGCTAGAACTGGCACAGAAATAATGTAATGGCAGGATGCACAGCTTTTCTGTTAGCTAAGAGAATGGCCCTTTATAACTATTTATACTGCTATTGGACACAAGCAGTTTAGCACAGTGATGGGGTGGGACCTACATCTCAAAAGGCACAGGCAGCTTTTAAAAAATTATATACCCCCAACCTGTACAATAGCATTAATATAAGATGACTGACAGACAATAACTGCCCTTCAAACTAATGGGCCAGTCAGTTATCTGGGAGATTTGGTATTTTAACCTTTTGGTGCTAGGAGTAATTTCTAAAGCACACATTAGAATCAAATCAACTAACTCCAAGGGTTAATGCAGGAGGGGAACATACCAGACTGTGCATCTGCTTGTCTGTCGCTAATGGAAAGGGACTTCCTCAGAACTCTGAGCCAGAAGTCCAAGCTACAAAATAACACTGTTTCTCCCTTGTTCTTAAAGATACAACAGAATAGACATAGCAGCTACACAGTAAAGCTTATGGAGTCAGCTTTGCATATAGGCCTGTTAAATTGCATTCCAAGCTATGCAACTCGGCAACATTAGAATCGCAGGCTAAAGGAAAAGGCAATGTATACCCCTCTCCTCTGCTGACTTACCTGTGATTTAAACACCGTGCAAATACTGATGTAGAAGAGAGCACTTTCTACTTTCCCTTGCGGACTACTGCCTGTCCCAACTGCATGTCAGGTAGATGCAACCCACGCTAGTGGTCAAGAGTGACCTGACATTCCAACTAGTTTAAGAACTGTGAATGAGACAGTCTAAAAGAAATATTTTCAGAAGTGCCTATGTGACTTTGGCTCTTAAGTCCCATTTTCAAAAGTAATGTAGGAGCCTACATCTCAATGAAAACCAGCGGGACTTAGGATCCTTGGTGACTTAGGCACTTCTGAAAGTTTAAGGTCCACTGACTTTCAGTGAGAAGTAGGCTCTTAAGTGGCGAACATTCTAGAAGGGCATCAGTGGAACAGAATAAGGGATTGGAGCAAATAAATGGACAGATATTCAGACAGATATTCAGGAAATTCAAGCTTAACTGTTTTGCTGAAGAGCAGTCAACAAATGGAATAAAGTGCCGAATGAAGGCCATTTCAAATCAAACTCTCTCAATGAGTGAGAAGCAGCCAGGCATTTTATTAATCAGTACCTGACCTGGACAGTGCGTATTATCAGACTGTCATCACCTGCGCTATTCAGAGGAAACCTGAAGAGCAGTTAATTATAATATACCTTATCTCTGATATGAAATGTATAAACCATTCCTCCTCCAAAGCCTAACAGAGCAGCCCACTAGTGCTGCCCATTCTCAATACAAGACTCAGCAATCCTCTGCTAGTGAAAGATTCAGACCTTGATTTTAAAGGGGCCTCAGGGGCAGAGTCCCAAATTTGTGCCTAAAGATAACTGTAGATCCAAATCTGCACCATGTAATAACTGTGTGAGCATTTCAACAGCTCACTGATTGCACCCACAATGTAGTTAGATGTTCAAGTGCTATAATGTACAACTTGTTTGCAAAATTGAGTCTGAAGTTTTTTCCAGGTGCAAAATTAGATGCCACTTGTCCAATCAGGCTCTCCCATTGACATTGGTGGAGTTTATAGTTAGCAATTTGTCCAGTAAGACACTTAATTCTGTCCAGATCTTTGCTGGACTGAGTTACTAAAGGTAATCTATACCTAAGATTACATTTTCTGAAATTACGATTTTTTTCAGTTGTTAAAATCAAATGCATTTAATTTACATAGTGTGGTGACTTACCTGCTTACTACAAAAAAACAGTATACTCCGAGCCTGGTTTACCACTACATTATTCTATGTGCTTACCAGTTTTACAGCAGTAGAATAGTGGTGAATCAGTTCTTTTGTACCGTTCACGTCTGCGTATTAAGAGTGACTATCGAGCTAATATTATTCTGCATTTAAAAGCCACATTCTAAGTACAATTTTTATATGAAGAGAGTTCTCAGCAACTTTATATTACAATGACAGTACACTGCTAGAATATGCAATAGTATGTAAAACAAATTTTAAAATTACTATTTTTAAAAAAATGTATACATATCACATACACTTAGGCCTCAATCCAGAATCATTTTAATCCAAGGAAATTTTTGTAAGGTAAACTTAAAATACAGAATTACTTATTAATGATTCTATCTTAATTCCTAGTTTTACAAAACCATGACCAAGCAATGAATTCATGCTGAGTTAATCACCATTCTCCCCCCCTACACACACACACACCCACTCACCTCCCTTTATGAATTAATTTGGCCTAATATAATCTGGTCTCTGTAGATTTTAACTTCAATATTCTAAATATTACCAAAGCTTTTCCTCCTTCCTTTGGAGATTAGCGTTAATCGTTTTGGGAAAAGATTACTTTCTTATTAATTAGACAATATAATGTAGTCAACAGTACACTTCTATTCTGTACACCTATAGAAAGCCATGTTATGGCTTTCCATACAAACCATGTTGGTTAGCACACATTGTGGCTTTGGTACACAGCTGAGTTTTTCCACTAGAAAGGAAAGAATGCAGTGCTTGATACTCAAGAGTATCAATATTATTAACTTTTCAGACTACATAAGAAGAGATGTTTGGAGCAGAATGATTTACTGATAAGACTAATGGATTCCTTTTTTTTTTTTAAACTATCTTAACATCAACAGTTTTTTATCTTAAACTAAAATAATTTCAGTGGCCTTTAAAAAACGCAAGATTGGAAATTAGACCAGTTGATTTTTTCCTTAAACAGTTAGATTTTGAAATTAAATAAAGGCATAATAAAAGCTCATGCCATATATATGATTCATCACATGTCTATGGGAGTTGAAAAACAGTAATTAACATATTCTTCAAGCGGAGAATAAAAATTCTTACCTTTTTTATACCATGATCTCTGCTTACAGTCATTACATTTCAGCCTATTTTATAAAGTGCATATGGCTACGAAGGTCCGGAGAGAATGAGAATAAAGTGATATTAACCTGCTGAAAACTGCTTAAAAGTCTTATCCTGCAATATAGAGAGGTTCCAACGCCATTTAAATAAAGACTTTCATACAGAGGCATCTCTGACTCAGTTAATAATCCCGATAATTGATTCAACACCCCAAACAGTTTAACGAACAAAAAAAAACAAAAAAGTGAACTTAGAACAGCGAATTTTCTCTAAAATTTGCCAAATTCTAGAATGTCGGTTATTTTATGAGGATTCTAGGAAAAAAAATCCATTTCAGAAGTGAAGTGACCTAATCCTTCCACCGTTTCACCATATTATTGTGAGGCATGGTTGAGACACATTAGTTCAGTTATACCTGGGAGAAAAGGTGGAATGTTTGCTGCCTTTCATGTCTTCCGGCATGTAGCAGCTCTGGGTTCGAGAATAGCCACTGTAAGCCTTGGTGGCAGTTTCTAGGTCAACTTTGATACTAAAGACCTGAGTACAATTGTTCAGTTAAAATTCTGATTTAAGTGGTGAAAGCTAAAGCGGAGTTATCTGATTAAATTGGGAGCCCCACCAATTTTTAATGAAGTCCAAGTTTTATACATTGGTCTCTTCTTTCTGCATGAAGAAATAACCAAGACATGTATGCACATCTATTGCTATGTATCCCAAGGAAGGACTGTGGCTTGGAATAAGTATTGCTTTTATTAAAAAGGATTTGAGTCCAGGGAAAAAAAATCTTTTCAAAAAGGAAAAGCTCAGAGTTCCATATTTGAAGCTGAGACCCCCTCAAAACGAGTCACGTTTGTTCTTGCTTTTAAGACATCTATAAATAGCCATTTCGAGCCACACAACCTGATGGTTCTAGAAGTCAGAGAAGAAATCTTGAGGGCCCAAGTGAACAATAAAAGGTGCGATGCTGAGAGGCTGGCAATAGGGACTGTCAATGAAAAAACCACCTACAGTGGAGAAAAGAGCAGAGAAGCAAAAACTTCATGTTAATTTCAAAGGGACTGGCTGAAGCTAAAGCTCCATTTAAATTTCTCTGCTCCTTCAGCTGTAAGTGGAATTTTCATTGTAAAAGGGACACAAATGGGCACTTTTAAAACTATCAAAACATCCTTACTTCCAAGGTTATCACTTTGTAAACAAAGAACTGACAGCTCATTCATATTTTCAGAAAAGCAGAGAAATGTAAAATATGCAGCAACGGGGCAAGTTTACAATGTGGTTAGTAACTCCCAACAAATGACAAAAAATGAACAAATGACTTCATATAAATCATCTGAAATGACGGCCATCAAGTTGGAAAAGAGCACAGCTCCCTCTTTTTAATGAGCTGGGGAGGAATAAGTTATTGGGCAAGTAAATTTTCAATACGTAAATATTTTCAGAACAAATTGTAGTTTAAAATTTAAAGTCTCAGAAATTCATGGATTTAAAAAAAAAAACACACCCCACTTTATCATCAGCAGTTGCCAATCAAGAGAACTCCAAAAAAGGCAGGGATCTTTTAATGAATATTGTATTACCCAAAAATGGGCTCTCATCAGCCATGCTTTTTCTGCTCCGTGATGGCTCCCTTTCATCCATAGGCCAGCAAAACAGGTCAATGATTTATGAACACTTCTCAATTTGAAGGCAACGCCAACCCCGCCATTTATCTCTCAGTGCTAATTCAAGGGATGATAATGTCAGACTCACTGCTGCTGTCAATCAAGGCTACATACTTTATTAAAGTATCACCACCACCAAATGAAAGCCAGAGCTACAGCAGGAAGAGAAACGGTTATGAAAGATTTAAGCACATTCCTAAGCACAAATGCTTGATTTAAGAACAGCTGCTGTAGTTAATTCCAAGGAAAGCAGCTTGTTATACACGTCACCCCCTTATCATGCTGTTCTAGGATTACTCTCCCTGCTATGAGAAACATACATTGCGGTAAGCCCCATTCTTACCACGTCCTTTAAAAAACCACCACCACCACCCTCCCCCAAGAATAGAGTCTGAAGGAGAGCAGACTGTATAAAGGCATCGTCAAGACAGCACAAAATATAACAAACCTACTGAAAAGGAACTGGTGAGCTCTGAATGGGGAAGTGCAACCAACAATGCTGCTTATTTTGTGGGGGTGATACCTTAATAAAAAGTACTTTATTCCTTCATATTGGAGTCCAAAGCACAACAGCTTTATACACAAGCCTGGAAATGTTCTGGTGACAGTACGGAGCATGTCCTCTGCTCTATACTTTCAGAGGGGTACATGCACTCCTTATATTATAGATGTTGCCTTACTTTGGGCACCAACTCGTATCAAAAAATGAATACTGGCCTATGGCTGAAATGTGTCACTTTTCACAGCAGCACTCAACAAGAACTGGGACCATTAAATAGCAAGTTTTCATGGGGACCTTGTTGCTGCTTTAGATTCTTATAATTGTAAGGGGAAAAGGAGAACCCTTTTTTTAATTAGAGACTGACAACTAAAATAACTGTAAAAATGCTCCATGGAAAATCAAGGGTGGACAAACAATCTTACAGAGTGAAGAAGGCCACAAGAACAAGTGCAATTTATTCTTTTTGGGGGGAAGTGAGGGGCATTGTAAACACATCTTTGGAACACTAAAAAACAATCATAATGTTATGATTGTCCTTTCTCTGGGCAATACAAACTTAACTATGTATTCCTCCAATTATATAACAAAAGTCTTTGAATGGAAATTTCCCTTGTTTAACACAGGTTTCACAAATATAACTGAATACAAAGAGACCAGCTAGTGTTAATAATGCCCTTTGTTTTCTTTTTCAGCATTTTGCATACAAATGAAGAGGCTTCGTGGAAAACGAAGACAGGGTCTACGTTACTGAGCCTTACAATATGCTACTTTCCTTGGTTTTAAAGATGCTAAGGGAATCCTTTCAAGGTACTGATGCTTAGATATATCAAAAATAATAAGCTAAGACAATACTTAAACCCATATTTTACTAGCTTTGTTCACCTTAATATTTTCAAAGTTAAAATTTAACTGAAAAGTTTCTATTGTATTACTGGTTTGTTTGTTTTTAAATAACTACACTCTGAATTAAGTTGCCCTACAACAAATACAGGTCATTAACTGAGATTCTGTGTGACTGCATTAGGAAACAGGCAGTACTCTGTGTTACGACAAAACCGTTTATTTGTGATCAGTGTTTTATATTCTATACATCCTTCACAAATTTAATTTTACATAATCGGATACTTCATTTAAAACGTAAGGTTTAAGCTTCTAGTTCTTCCCTATAACAGAAGGCTGGTATAAGTTATTTGAAAATGAGGTAACATTTCACAGAACATTTTTTTTTTCTTCAAGTTTTAGAGAACTAAATTTGCATTTTGTTAAAATCAAAAAGTAGGAAAAGATGTTTCTTTACAAATGACTTTGCTCAAGTATGTGTTCAAAGAAAACAGGATAAAAAGGCTTTTTTCTCTTCTAACATTCTGTACTGTACTGTGTTGTTCAATCAATAGGAATTAGCTTCTGCCATTTGCTAAAAGAATGAGTAGTGGGGAACAGGATATGTTGGGAATTTCATAACTGGTAACAGAACCATTCTCTTGGGTATACCTACAGAGAGAAGAAACGGAGAGGACTCCAAATAAGTTCAATGATCCAATAAAGTCAAGTAAAAGCTTACAGTAATGTTCTCATTAACCCTTTCCAGATGAGTCAGTCAATGAGCTTTGAGGGCATTGAATCCCAGAAGCAGAACATTTCAACATTTTGTAATGCTTTAAACTTAATATAACATATTAGATGTTATTATCATTCTGATGTTTATTAATTTAGCATTAGCAATACGTTTCAGAAGTAGTCAGTACCATGTTACACTGAAACAGACTGGATTTGGAAAGTTAATTTACGTTCTTATTAAGATAGTGTGGACAATCTATCTTGTTCAGTGTCCTGAAGTAATTTAACAGGCCAGTTACAACTGCAAAGCTTTTAGACAGAAAATGCTGCTGTGCATACACAGAAGTCCTTAAAAAAAGGGCACAGCACAGTTTTGACAAACCTCCCTTTGGATCTGTCAAAACCAGGCACTGATAACTCAATCAAGTTCTATATCCATTTAGACTTTCTGCATTTATTCATATTGTACTGAAGTGGCAAATCTGGAAAGATTAATATCTGCCTAATCTCAGGATTATTATAGCGTTCTTGTGGCCTCACAAACTTCTGCATACTTAAATACTTTTTTTTTAAATGGTTCCTATTTAAATTCTAATATTTAACCTACGTATCCATTTAGAAATCACAAAGCAGCAACAGCAGGTATTCCAGAGCACCAGATGATCAAAGTGAAACTTCCCAACATGCAACAGCTTACAAAGGCAAAGAGACATATTTACCTTACAGCCAGAAAAGCATTATTTCAGTACTTTGCATCACAATAAGACATTAAAACAGAAAAACTCTTTATGCGAAAAATGGGGGCAGCAGATTTCACAAGACTTTGAAGTCAGCGATATGCCACACGTAAATATCTAAGCGATTACAATTCAGGCTCCAACACAGATGTCATGAGAAGATGGAGGGAAAGGAAAAAACAAACCAAGAGAAAGAAGGATTGTAGGTAAAACTCCCAGCCCCACTGAAGTCAATGAGAGTTTTACCACTTACTTCAGTGGGGCCAGGACTTCACCTCATATTCTTATATATAACCTATCTGCCAATAAGAGATACGGAGAGTCAAGTACCAGCCATCTTAGACTATCTCAGGGTCATATTAAATACCCACTTCTTAATGTTTCATACAAGGATGAAGGCTACAAAAGGGATTGTTTAAAATAAGCTACTGATGAAACAGGTCCCAAACTAAATATGTGATCTCCTGCTGGGTGAGTGGGTAGAGGTTCCCTTTGTTATCAATAACAGTGCATGAAAGATAATCAAGAATACAGACTATGCTTTATGGGAAATGCTAGTGTCACCTGCTGCAATGTGAACACAGATGGCCAATTCATATCTTTCTACTAAGATAAGAAAAGCTGCTTTAAATCAGAGGAAATTCCTTATCCGAGTAAAGGCACCTCATTGGCCAGTTCCCTTGCCCAGCTCCACAAAAGAAAGCACAGAATGGTAGCAGCCAGTCCTGCGTGGTAAGTGCTCCTAGACACCAACAATACTAGAGCCACAGCATTTTCATCATCAGGGGACAGCACAAGAGGCTATAGCTGTATTTATGGTGTGCATCATTTAGAATGGAAAAGGTTCTTTCCCAAGGTGTAGAAATCAAGTTACCCAGTTCCGTAATATTTCCCTGGTCAGATAAGGTTTCTACACTTGTAATCAGGTGGAGTTACTGTTAGCCACCAATTTTATTCAGATTCGATACGGAAGCAAGCATTAGGGTAATAACCCAGCACAGGAATGGTTGGTATAGTGAGGATTAGGTTTCCCCTTTGAAAAATAAAAAAAAGGCTGCTGGAGTAATCATGTGGTTTTGCCATTTGAGAGCTACAGAATCTTACCCAGTTATAGAAGACAGGTTCTGTACACACAGAAGATCAGAACTGGTTCTGAGACAGCGCCTTGTTTTACTCTAGTGTGTCGGAACATATCACTGACTCCAAACTGTTTTGCCCCCATTGCCACATAAACCTCATTCAAAGTAACCAAAAGGCCAGTTAGAGATAAATATGCTTTATTAGTCTAGTATTTAAAAAAAGCGTGGGGGAGGGAAGGGGGCTAGGAGAAAGTACTCTGGAGCTATGAAAGAGGCCTTATGTTTATTTTAGTCCATATGAAATGTATTGCACTGCCATCCTAGATTTCACTGGGCTTCTTAGCAGAAAGGGGCAGTGGCAAGTTATAGTGCCTTCGCAGCCTTGCAGTCTGATCTCTAAGTAACCTACAGAAACTCAGTTAGCCTGACCCAAACAGCAGTATTCATCCTGCCACTATATAAAATGTGTTTGGACTGGTTATGAGATGTTTGTGGCAGTGGGCATTTCAAACAACTGATTGCAATAAGAGGAAATGCCCACAAGTCTAACTTACAGACCATCATTTTACCAATGTTTAGCCAAGGGGCATTAGAGTAATATTTCAAGGATGTTAGATTTGGCCCTTAGGTATTCTTTGAATGGAGCACAAGTTGGCTGTAAAAAGTAGGAGAACTACTTAAAAATATTCAATTTCACTATTAAAGGGAACAGGCAGTTAGAACAAGCAGTCCTTCCACAATCAGGCAAAGCATAGGCAAAAAGCTACTCCAACCAAAACAAGAACCACAAGGTTATGGCATCAATTGAAATGTCCTCATTGTCATATTTAAAGTGAGCTCTGATTTTCTTGGATCACTTGCGAACTCTAGGGCAATCTCTATTTTTGGACTGCCATGATAGTTTCAATACCATTTCTAGTTCAGTTATCATGGCAGTCCAAA